AATATATTCCTAGTTTAGGTGCTTCCCTTCCTCCCTTTAACTTCCTCCCTTCCTTCCCTCTCTTCCTCCTTCGTTCCTTCCTTCCTCCCTTCGTTGTTCCTCCATTCCTCCCTTTTCCTTCCTTCCTTCCCCCCTTCCCTTTGTCCCTTCCTTCTTTTAAAGCCCCTTGTCCCTTTCCCCCCCTGAAGCACTTTAACATAGAGATTTTCTTATTTTTCCCTTTGTACTTTTTAGCTAGATTTCCCCACGTATAAAATATACCGTCTTCTATGCAATGATGATGTATTTATATTAGGATACACCAGTTCTTTAGCCCTATAGCTATACCTAACATATCATATTGCAAACTTTTTCTCTAAGAAATGTTAATTTCTGAGAAAGGATGTTTTTCCCAGTAAGAACTGGCAATATGTCTATGGTTTTAGTCTGGCCCCTTTCTGAGGAGGAAATTACAATTAGCAGGGAACTCAACAACATTCATCCCTTCCAGATTGACTGAATACTTTTATTTTATTTTCTCTGTCACATTCAAGAAAATCAGTTGAGGCTGCAGACATTTTGTTACAAAGCACTCCTATATAATATATTTGCTACCCTCATCCTTGATGTGGTCATTTCTTGTGTGCTACATTTAACTAGTTGGAAAATCATCCATTTTTTTTTTCCTTTCCTTGTTTTCGTTTTCCGGATGGAATATTGACAGACCACTTGAAGAGATATAGATTTTGAACGAAACAATTCCAGCTGATAAGCTCTATCATAATAATACAAGCCACTGGCGCTTGTCAATTACACCTCAAAACAAGCAGCCTGAAATATCTGGGTTGGCGGGGGGGCAAGCACATTGAGATTTTAATCATAAGCTACGTACGCACTTGATCAGATTAGTCAGGGCGGAATAAAAATAGCACTAAGCAGAATGAACGAAATGTGCTTGTTGTGTTCCCAATTGGAGGAAAGGACAGATCCTGAGTTTGGGTTTGGATGATGATACTTGCCCTGGCTGTTAGTGTATAAATCCCACTCTCTTCCAGCACTGATGATGTTAGCTAGTTGGGTGATGAAACGTCTGCAAGAAAACCACCAAGCTCAGAGAGCACCAAGGACCCCACAAGCCCTCCTCCTCTTCCTCCTCCTCCTCCTCTCCTCTTCTACCACCTCCACCTCCTCCTCCTCTCCATATATCCCCCTAGCATTGATGATGTTACCTAGTTGGGTCATGAAACATCGCCAAGAAATCACCAAGCTCAGAGAGCACCAGGGACCTTACAGTCCTCCTCCTCCTTCTAATTCAGTTACTCTATTATTCTGTTACCACAAAATGTGCTGGATAGTCCCACTAACTCTCCGACGATATTAATATATTCTGTTAAAATGACAGTCCATGTCTCTTCTTGAAAGCTTCCAGTGATGAAGCTCCCACAACTTCTGAAGGCAACTTCTGTTCCATGGGTGGATGGTTCTCCCTGTCAGAAAATCCCTACTTATTTCCAGGCTGAATCTAATTGGGATTCTAAAGGGTACTGAGATGATATATACATATTTCCCAAGATGTATCCTCCAAGCTAACCACACGTTCAGAACGAAAAAGCTTCTCCTGTGAGTAGAACAACAACATAACAATGGGTTGTTGTTATGATGACTTTAAGGTTAAAAGAAAAGATGGAGCCAAATCAGTTTGGGAACTTGGTTTTAAGAGAGAGAGAGAGAGAGAGAGAGAGAGAGAGAGAGAGAGAGAGAGAGAGAGAGAGAAAGAGAGAGAGAGAAAGAGAGAGAAAGAAAGAAAGAAAGAAAGAAAGAAAGAAAGAAAGAAAGAGAAAGAGAAGAAAAGAGAGGGAGAGAAAGAGAGAGAAAGAGAGGGAGGGAGAGAGAGAGGGAGCAAAAGAGAGAGAGTGAGAAAGAGAGAGAGAAAGAAAGAGAGAGAGAAAGAAAAAGAAAAAGAGAAAGAGAGGGAGAGAGAGGGAGAGAAAGAGAGAGAGAGAAAGAGAGAGAGAGAAAGAGAGAGAGAGAGAAAGTCCCTCTCGCCTCCCCATCCAATTTTCCTCCCAACCGTTGCAGTGGTGAGGTTGACAGTGAGTAAAGGTTGACCTCAGTTCCTAACCGACTCTTGCATTCCCCGGGGCAAGAACCCAACCGGCGTTTGCCGTGACCAACCTCTCCTCTCCTCTCCTTTCTTGACTTTCCAGTCTTTTAACTTAGAGCCCCGAGCTTTGCTTCTGCCTTACTAGCCAATTTATGGCCTCGTCCAACCTTGCTGAGAGCTTCAACAGGTCAACCCAGGCCAGCCCAGGTCACGTGACTCTGATCTGGGAAGCAGCTTGCTGGCTTGCAGTCTTGGGAGCCAAGCGAATGCCAGAGAGCTTCCATACAGGTGTGGTGGCCGGTATGATTTCTATTTTGATTCCTAACATTGGAAGCTGAAATCCTGATTGATACAGGTGTCTTACCAAGGTTTCTCCAGCTCTGAGGTGAGCACTTGGGCCCCGATCAGCTACCCTACCACTTCAGAAGGATCATTAGCCACCTGGTTTGGTTACCTGTTTTGACTTGCAACTGGCTTTCACGCCAGTGTGATGTTGATCAGATTACTTTACCTGCCATCCAGGAATTTGGAATCTCTGACGCGCGAAATGCAAGTATAGTAGAAGAATTTGGCATTTGTGTCGTAGGGAACGGGTAATCATGTGCATACTCAAACAACTTTCGTGCCTCAGGTAGGACTAGAACTCTCTGCCTCCTGGTGATTGACCCAAAGTCACCCAACTAGCATTCATGCCTAAGGTGGGACTAGAACTCCCAGTCCCCTGGTGATTGGCCCAAAGTCACCCAACTGGCATTCATGCCTAAGGCGGGACTAGAACTCACAGTTGCCTGGTGATTGGCCCAAAGTCACCCAATTGGCATTCATGCCTAAGGTGGGACTAGAACTCACAGTCTCCTGGTTTCTAGCAAGAATATACATACAAAAAGTATAAATCACATACTTTTATAAATAATAATAATAATACTTTTTGTTGGAATACTGGTAAATATGTTCAATTAGCACAGAGGACATGCTGGGACAATCACCTCCCTCTATTTCAAACTTAAATCTCCAGGATTAAGTTGGTTTCTGAGTTTTGCCCAATTCCCATCTATGAGGCTAGTTCTGGAAGTTATTATTACTGTCACTCCCAGCTATAGATCACTCGGCTGGCGAGAAAAACTCCCTATTTCTCCCTTTCTGAACTCTGCCTGGTTTTGTGTCAGCAACAACTTGAGGTTGGAAAAATAAATCTTGGGCCACACCCAGGCAGGGCAACTCATATTTTGATACCTGCCTTCCTCAATTAGTCTGGCATTATTTTTTTTTCTTTAATGGATTGCCAGGGCATTACCAGAATGGAAGGCGGTTTGTAGAGAATAGATGGATGGATGGATGATGTGCAATCAAATTAGCTTCGAAAACTGACCTAAGACTTTTCAGATGTGTGTGTGTGTGTGTGTATGTGAGAGAGAGAGAGAGAGAGAGAGAGAGAGTTCTAGTGCTACCTTAGGCAGGTAAGCTGGCTGGATGACTCTGGGCCAATCACCAGGAGATGGTGAGTTCTAGTCCCACCTGGCTGGGTAGCTTTGGGCCAATCACCAGGGCAATTGTTAACTTCTCCCTATTAATCTAAAATCTTAGAAAAATAAGAAAAAAAGACACTAGCCAGAGCTGAGGTGTGGCTGCCCAGCAAGTTCTTCTGAACACAAAGGGCCTATTTTCTCCTCCTTCCTGTCTCAAACACACAAGTGGCTGGAGTGGTATGCCTGGAGGGTGTGACAGTATAGATGGCCTTGTTCCTCCCATACTTGGCCAATGACTTTGCACGGAGACGAATTACACTCCCATTCTTGTTGTGTTTTAACACGAGTGCATAATTGCCTCTTGGTTTTTCAACAACAAATTAAATCGTAACCACTTAGAATAATGCAATTTGCCTTCATTTGGGTAGAATAATAGTTCTACACAATAATTGTTGTGGAATAATAGTTTTTAGTCCTGTCATTACGTTGCTAATGAACCATTTCAAAGGCAGACAGGCAAGGCATATTTTCGGTCTGGGATTTTACATGCTACCATCAAATGATTTTCAGGCTGTACTCCAAGGAGAAATTCCAAGTTTTGTATAAAAGCCCACATCATATTAACAACATTAAACCTCGTTTTTTCTTTCTTTCTAACATTCTATAAGAGCCAGCTTGGTCTGATGATTAAGGTAAGTAAGTGGGATTAAGGTCTAGTAAGTGGGAGACTGTGAATTCTAGTTCTGCCTTAGGTATGAAAGCTGGCTGGCTGACTTTGGGCCAATGACCTGGAATCAGTGAGTTCTAGTCCCACCCTAGGCATGAAAGCCAGCTGGGTGATTTTAGATCTCTCTCTCTCTCTCAGCCCAACCCACCTCACAGGGTGGTTGTTCTGTGGAAAATAGCAGGAGGAAAGTGTGTTGGAGTGGTTCACCATCCGGAGTTATTTACAAAAACAATAAAGCTGGGATTAAATAAATAAACCAAAGTAAACAAATAAAAGATACATCATTTTTGCTCAACCTCGGCGCCTTAAAAGTGTGTGCATGCGCTCCAACTCCCAGAATTTCCCAGCAAGCACTAATAATGCCTTTGTAACGACCGTGAATATAACTTGCAATTATAAGGATGATAAGCAGGTCGATAATCCGTTTGTGAAATATATTTAGACGTTTGTATTTAATATGTTTCTTCTATTCCTATAAATTTGTGTATTTCTCAACTTCAAGATCAGCGGACTTCGATTCCCAGAATTCCCTTGGCTTGGGAATTCTGGGAGTTGAAGTCCACCCATTTTAAAATTGCCAAGGTGTATAAACATGGCAGTCGATGGGTATTTGGTGATTGAGCTGAATATGCACACACACACACACACACACACACACACACACACACACACACACAAAAGACTAAAAAGTTTGAAACCTTTTCTCAAACTTCTTGTTTTTCAGGATCATTTCTTGTTTTATTTTCATGGTGGCAATAAAATATCCTTACCGCCCCCTGCCAACCTGGACTAATGAATCTGCAGGATAAAACAGGTAATTTCCATGTTTTTTGCTCTGTTTTGGTGATTCTGAATAACTCAGTTGGGTACAGATGATCTTGGCGAAAATCTATCAATCTGGATGCGAAGAGTTGATCCTGATTTTATAGTATATAATGAATGAATTAGTCAGTCAGTCAATCTGTAGCAATGTACTACAAGCACGTGGACCCTAAATTCGCACAATACTTTAAGCCATTTAAAATGCAGGTAATTCTCCCCTTACAGCAGTTCATTTAGTGATTGTTTGAAGTTAGGACGTTACTGGGGGAAAAAAAGTGAATTATGCCCATTTTTCACACTTAACAACTGTTGCTGCGTCCCGGTAGTCACACAATCAAAATTTGAATGTTTGTAAAACGATCCGTAGTTATGAGGATTGTCCCAGGATCCTTTTGTTAAGCAAAGTCAATGTGAAAACCAGAAGTACTTCTAACAGTGTTACTAATGTATCAGCTGTGGCGTTTCACTTAACCAACAATGGCAAAGAAAGGTCGTAAAACAGCGCAAAGCTCCCTTTAAAAAACTGCCCCGTTTAGCAACATAAATTTCGGGCTCCCTTGTGGTTGTAAGTCAAGGATTTCAGCCCAATGGTGGGATTCAACTTTTTTTACTACCAGTTCTGTGGGTGTGGCTTGGTGGGCGTGGCAGGGGAAGGTTATTGCAAAATCCCCATTCCCTCCCCACCCCACTAACCTGCTTTCCAGCTCCGTTCTCCTGTGCAGGGCAACCAAAGGAGACCCAGCTGATCAGCTGGGACTTAGTGGGAGGCGAAGAATAGATGGAGTTGGCGGGGCTAGTCAGAGGTGGGATTTGCTGGTTCTCCGAACTACTCAAAATTTCTGCTACCGGTTCTCTAGAACTGGTCAGAACCGGCTGAATATCACCTCTAATTTTGGATCTGTATGGACCGATCTGCTTTAATATATGTTGTGGATGTATGCAGTAAGGACGGAGCCTGTTCGGTGGGTTCAAAAATATTGGTTGCTCGTTGGATGAAAACGAGCAAATTTAGGAGGAAAAAACATGGAAGCCCTGTTGAAATTGTTGGCTGGCTGGGAGTCTAACCAGGTTTATCTGCAAGCAACATTTGGCTGCCATTTGGCTGGTTTTTCTTATTCGAAAGTTCCCTCCTGGGAAGACATTTGGCTGGCAGGTTGTACATGAAGGTGATTAAAGACGGCAACGTGGGTGTAACACACCACGCAGGAGATTTCTCTTACGTATTGGAGGTGGTGGTTGCTGCGCATCTAAAAATATTTGGCTGCACCCATGTACCCATGTAAAAATGCCCTTAGGGCACCGGGTGTGGTCCTGGATTCATTGGCAAAAATGCTATCCAGTGATTACTAAAGTTCCAGAACACATTTTGTGCCTTGGTCTGGTGGAGTTTTCTCCTTATTCCCCAAAGGCAGCCTTCTGTGTAGTTGACGTAGGAATCCTAGTCTACTTTCTTTCCAAGAATGTAGACCTAGATTTTGCTTGGATCATCTGTGGTGGTTTGTTGGTTAGATCTGCGGTGTGCTGCCATGTCTTTCACCTGGATTGGTAAGTCTCATGCCAATCAAATACTTGTGAAATAATTTCTTCTTTAGATCTTTAGGGCTAAAGATCTTCTTCAGATTTTTGGATTTCTTCTTTAGATCTCTATGTCAGGATTCTAGCAATCACCCTAACTAAATCATGATTCTTGAGCCAAACTTCAAAAAAAAAAACCACCCTGGGTGTGTCATAAATCAGATTGTCCAATTGAGCATATTCACGGGCTGGGTGTCATCATTCATGTTCTCCAATTAAATATATTTGCAGGCAAAAGCTCTGGTATTTTAGTTACAATCTTTTAAAGAGAAGAGTTGGAATGTACTTTTGCTTTCAGCTGCTGCACGGCTCTTTCACATTTTCTTCCTCCTCCTTCCACCATTTTTATGGCAACTAGTAAAACAGGCATAGGAATGTTTTAGGAGTTTACACTCTAGTTAATTCCATCCCTTATGAAACTGAGGCTGCATGCTTCATCATGGTCATCTCCAAGTAGGTTAGGCCAAGAAAGCCATTCTAGAGGAAGCATTTTTTTTATTGAGTGGCTATAATACAACATAGAATCGTAGGGCTGGAAGTTGAAGTCCAACCACCCGGAGATGCCCAAGATTGGAAATGCTGTTCCAATGAAGGATCCTTGGTGCTCTTTGTCTTTCTTGTTCCTTTTCTTCAAGCACCTTCTTACTAGCTCTGATGATGTTACCTAGTTTGGGTAATGAAATGTCTGCAAGAAAACAACCAAGTTCAGAGAGCATCAGGAACCCCACAGTCAGTTTCCTTCTCCTTCTCCTTCTCCTTCTCCTTCTCCTTCTCCTTCTCCTTCTCCTTCTCCTCCTCCTCCTCCTCCTCCTCCTCCTCCTCCTCCTCCTCCTCCTCCTCCTCCTCCTCCTCCTCCTCCTCCTCCTCCTCCTCCATGTTGTAGCACCAAGTAGTGTTTGTTATGCCAACAGAAAAGTTGACTGTTGTGTACTTTCATTGCAGAACTCTGTATCGTGTAAACGAGCTGATGGATGAAGATGAGAAGGACAGGGCAAAGAGGTACAATATTTTACTTCTTTCGATCTGTGGTGGACATAAAACCAGGTGGAACCTTGGTTGCATTGGTCATCAGAGATGGTATTCCGCCAGTTTGGACTGGTTCTGGCGTGCTGGTTGCAGAAATGTCGACTGGTTCTGAGAACTGGCAAATACCACTTCTGGTGGAGCACGTTCTCCGAGCCTGTGGGAAAATTTTTTTTGAAACCCACCCCCTGTTTGTCCTGCCCCCTTCCCAACATTTTTAAACGTACCCCGTGAAGGACATCCTTGCCCTTGTAGATTTGCCCACGCGAGAGGAATTAAGTTTTCAAAGGTAACTTTGTGCTTCCTTTGACCAGGGCGTCACGCAACAAATCAGAGAAGAAAAGAAGAGACCAGTTCAATGTCCTCATTAAGGAACTGTGCACTATGCTCCAAGGACATGGACACCCTCTCAAGATGGACAAGTCCACCATCTTACAGAGGACTATCGATTTTTTACAGAAGCAAAAAGGTACGTGGACCACAAGGTTGACCTCCGCTCCTCTTATGACGGTGGCACAGTCTGTTTCATTTTTTTTAAAAAAAATATTTTTTTTAAGAGCGGATCCTGAGCTTGGAAAGGTGAGGGATGTCCCTCCTTTCTTGGCTTTTCCCAAGTAAACAAAAGCGAGCACTTTCTAACTCTGGGGGTTGACATTGTGCATGTTTTCCAAGAAGAATAACAGAGTTGGAGGGGGCCTTGGAGGTCTTCTAGTCTAACCCTCTGCTCAGGCTGGAAACACTCTACTGTTTCTGACAAATGGTTGTCCCAATCTCTTCTTTAAAACCTCCAGTGTTGGAGCATTCACAACTTTTGGTGGCAAGTTGTTCCACTGGTTAATTGTTCTGTCAAGGAATTTCTCCTTAGTTCTGGGTTGCTTCTCTCCTTAGAATAGAGTAAGAGAGTTGGAAGGGACCTTGGAGGTCTTCTAGTCTAACCCCCTGCTTAGTCAGGAAACCTTATACCACTTCAGACAAATGGTTGTCCAATCTCTTCTTAAAAACTTCCAGTGTTGGAGCATTTACAACTTCTGGAGGAAAGTTGTTCCACTGAATAATTGTTCTCACTGTCCGGAAATTTCTCCTTAGTTCTAGGTATTTTCGTAGCTTTTTCTATGAGCGAAGAGGGAAAACGCTACGTTTATTTCTTCTTTTACACTACACACATAACTTTAGAACTCCGTTGAGGCCTCTTCTGACTAAACTTAGTCGCATTCGAGTTTTTGTTTTCTGTTTTCTCGGTTACAGTCGTAAGATAAAATCAGGGTGGTTTCCTCAAGGAAGATCATTTCCTGAGGGGAGAAAAAAAATAGCTTTTTCCCCCCATCTTCCATCCTTAATTCCGCATTGGGGTTTTTTTTTCTTCATCCAACGGCTTTTCTCTTTTAGAAATCTCAGCCCAGACCGAAGCCTGTGAGATTAGACAGGACTGGAAACCCTCATTCCTTAGCAACGAAGAATTCACGCAGTTGATGTTGGAGGTAAGACGCCGTTACACAAATGCAAAGACAGGGAAGTGGTTGATAACAGGCAGGGGTGGGTTTTAGCCGCCGGTTCTCTGCACGGTTGCTAGGTGGGCATGGCCATAGTGGGCGTGGCCTGGTCCAGTGGTTACCAGCCAGTGGTCCATGAGAAAATTTTGGTGGTCTGCAGAGAAATGTCCCCCCCCCCAAAAGCAATAAATCTAGGCTGCGTGGGAATACAAGGCTGCGCCGCCCACATGGCCCACGGGAACACAAGGCTGGTGTCACTTGCATTGCAAACAACATGAGGTAGTGAGGGGGGAGGGGGAAAACTTGCCCCACTCGCCCCACACGCCTGGCCTGGCCACCGGGCTCCTTCTTTCCACTTCTTTCTGCTTCTGATTTTGGTTGCACACAAGGAAAGCAGCAAAAGTCTTTCTTTCTCTCCCCCAAACTCCACTAGAAAGGAGTCTTTGGGACCCTGTAAGGCCTCCTGCTCCAAGAGGCTCACGAAAACTAGTTTCTGGCGGAGTTTTTGGGAGAGAAAGAAAGACTTCTGCTGCTTCTGCTGCTTTCCTTGCATGAAGCCAAAAGTCTCTCTCTCCCCCCTGAGAACGGAGCTGGAGATGGTATCCTGCGATCCCAAATAAAGAATGATCGATGGGATAGGAAAACGGGGTGGGGAATTTTCCTGCAGACTTTTTGGGGGATTTTCCCAGGGTCTGTGCTGCTTCTGCTTTTTCGCCCCAGTCAGAGCTGGGATTTGCTGATTCACTGAACCAGCCATAAAATTAGCTACCAGTTCGGTATCAGTTCGCTTGAAGTGGGGCGAATCGGTAGCAGCCCACCCCTGGTAACAGGAGACATTGGCTAGACTTTGCTCCGAAAGATTTCTTGCCGTTGGTTAAAAAGAAAAACAAAACAAAACACTGGGGCACCTCCAAATGCTTCTTGAGAACCAGAGCGATGCCTAGTTAAAATGTTGAGCGATGACAGGTGAGATTTATTTTCAGCCAGAGCAGCTTCATGGATTACTCTGGACCAGTTGGTTTCCGTCAGCCTAACCCTCCCAAGAGGGTTCTTCTTATTGTAGGGATCAAAGATAAAGGGAGGTCTCTATTTAAGCGGCTTCAAACTGTGGAAGAAAGATGATTGACAAGCTCAGCATCTGCAAATGTCTCGTCATGGACTTGAAATTTAATTCAAACAAGCTGCAAAAAAAAAAAAAGAATCTTTATAGATTTCCCTTGCAGATGGCTTTGCAATCCTGCCGGCAATTTATTTTTCTTGTCTTTTCAAGAATCAACAGTTGCCCTCTCTGATTTAGGGGCGAGAAATATACCAGGAAGCAGAAAGAAAGGGAAATTAGAAAAGGGAAATGAAGCTTCTTGGCTTCCTGCTGCCTGGGAGATGTAAATTTTATTCTCAAATCTCATTGCAGTAAGCTGTGCGATACAGATGTGGATTAAGAAACGAAAAACAAGAAGCATTAACTCAGAATAAGGAAATGCAAACCTTGGATAACAACATCTTGAGCTTGGGGTTAAACTAGATGACCTACAAGGTCCCTTCCAATTATTTAGTATTTATTTGATTTGTCAATCGCTTACAAGATGCAGGTATAAGAATAAACATAATTTTGAATACATGAGATAGATACTTATAAGAAAAATAAAAAACAATAGGACAGGGACGGTAGGCACGATTGGTGCGCTTATGCACGCCCCCTACAGACCTCTTAGGAAAGGGGTGAGGTCAATAGCAGAAAGTCTAAGGTTAAAGTTTTTGGGGTTTGGGGAAGAAACCACAGAGTCAGGTAGTATATTCTAGATGTTGACACTCTGTTGCTGAAGTCGTATTTTCTGCAGTCGAGTTTGGTGTGGTTAACCTTGAGTTTGTATCTATTGTGTGCTCTTGTATTGTTAGGATTGAAGCTGAAGTATTCACTGACAGGTAGGACATTGCAGTGTATGATCTTATATACTATACTTAGATCGGACCAAAGGCGGCATAGTTCTAGGTTTTCTAGGTCTAGAGTTTCAAGTCTGATGGCATAAGGTATTCTGCAACGAGTAGAGGAGCGGAGAACTCTTCTTGTGAAATATTTCTGGACTTTTTCAATTGTGTTAATATCAGATACATGATATGGGTTCCAGATTGATGAGCTGTATTCAAGTATAGGTCTAGCAAATGTTTTGTATGCTCTAGTTAGTAGTGTGATATTACCAGAGAAGAGGCTATGTAGAATTAGATTAACAACTCTTAATGCCTTTTTGGCTATGTAGTTACAGTGGGCTCTAGCACTTAGATCACTTGAGATGAGTACTCCAAGGTCCTTGACAAAATTTGGATCCCCAGCAAGGTCTTGACTATTTAGCTTGTATTTTATTTTCTGATTTTTTCTGCCAATATGTAAGACAGAGCATTTATTTATTGAGATTTGAAGTTGCCATTTGATTGACCATTCTGATACATAGTCAAGGTCTTTTTGGAGGGTAGTAGTATCGTCTGTGGTGTTGAATAGCTTTACATCATCAGCGAAGAGAACGCAGTTGCTCTTCATATGATCACAGAGGTCATTTATGTAGAGTATGAAGAGAGTTGGTCCTAAAACACTGTCTTGGGGGACACCACTGTTGACAGGTACAGAATTTGATAGGACGCTCCCAACTTTGACCATTTGTTGTCTGTTTGACAGGAATGCTTCTATCCAGTTATGTAGGTGTCCAGAGATACCATAAGAGTTTAGTTTTCGGAGTAGTTTGTCATGTATCACTGAATCAAAGGCTTTACAGAAGTCTATGTAGATTGCGTCTATTGCTTTGCCCTGATCGAGTTGTGTAGTCCATATGTTTTTGCAGTGCCAGAGTTGCAGTTTACAGGATAACTCTGTTATTTTGTAAATTTTGTAAATCAATTCCCCAAAATCCTCTTTGAAATTCCAAGTGGTTAAGCAAAGTCTTTTTTTTTTTTTCATAAAGGGCCAGAAATTTTCAAAGGGAAAAGAGGAGATGTTGGTAATTTGTTCTTAGTTCAAGAAGTCATCCATTTATCCAAATAATTGAGGTCATTGAGAAGGACCGACTTCCACCCCCCCCCACAACTGTACAACTTCTGGCTTGGGTTTCAGAGAAGCGTTTGACACAGGAGAATTCTCAGAGGCTGCACGTTGCCCTAAATCTACTGAGCTGTGCTCAGCTTGGAAGGGATTCATAGGGATGAGATTGGCACTGCAAGGCAAAAGGTAGCTTTACTTACAATTAAATTAAGAGTCCTTCTCCCAACAGAACAAGGAAACGTGATGGGGCATAAATTATAACATGTTGTTATCCATATTTTTCCAAAATATTTGTCAAAGTGATCAACAATATATGTTGGGTACAAATACTCTCAAGAAAAACTGGTGTCATCTACGTATCTATCATCTCTCTCTCTCTCTCTCCATCTACCTATCCATCATCTATCCGTCTGTCTGTCTGTCTGTCTCTCTCTCTATCATCTATCTATTTCTATCCATCCATCCATTGCTATCTATCTATCTATCTATCTATCTATCTATCTATCTATCTATCTATCTATCTATCTATCTCTCTATGATCTATCTATCACCTACCTACCTACTTACATCTATCTATCTATCTATCTATCTATCTATCTATCTATCTATCTATCTATCTATCTATCTATCTATCATCTATATCTATCTATCTATCTATCTATCTATCTATCTATCTATCTATCTATCTATCTATCTATATTTGTCTGTCTATCCATTTCTATCCATCCATATCTATCTATCTATCTATCTATCTATCTATCTATCTATCTATCTATCTACCTACCTACCTATCTATCATCTATCTATCTATCTATCTATCTATCTATCTATCTATCTATCTATCTATCTATCATCTATCTATATCTATCTATCCATCCCTATCTCTCTATCATCTACCCCGCTCTCCCTCTCTCCCTCCCTCCCTCTCGCTCTCTGCTTGAGATAAATGGGGTTAACTTACTGTACCTTCCTCAAATCAAGTCAGCCAGTTCTTTTGTCTCGTGGCCCAGAAAAACAACACAAATAACACACTCCCTTCTCTCGTGCTCTGTGGCTAAAAATATAACACCAACAAATAATTTTTGCTGCCTTTTCTAGATCCCTCAAATCTGCTTCTTCTTCTTCTCGTGTTTACTAGTCAGAGACTGATTTTAATACTTAATGCTGAGCTCTCCTGTCAGCCTTTTAACTTGAACAAAGTTTCCATCAATTCCATTGAAAAATTTAACTTTGAAGTAAATAGCCAAGAGGCTGGGATACATGCTGTTTGTTCCTAGATTATGGGTTGTTTTTTTCCCTCCTACCTCTAGGCATTAGATGGGTTTCTCATTGCACTAACCACTGATGGGATTATTATTTATGTATCGGATAGCGTCTCTTCGCTCCTTGGTCATTTACCGGTGAGTTCTAACCGCACAATATCTAAACATCTTTTGGTTTTACTTCGCTTTTGCACCGTCACTTTAACTCTCTTGTTGAACACAACAAAATTCTTTTGTCTCAGTCAGATTTGGTGGACCAAAATATATTAAATTTCCTACCTGAGTGTGAACAGAACAATGTGTACAAGGAACTTTCGGCCCAAATGCTTGTGACCAACTCAGTGACCTCTGATTTTCTAAACGGTAAGTGAGGCATTTTGCTATTTTCAACAAAGAAATTTTAATTTTCCCAAAGCATGCTCTAGAAACAGTTTAATAGTACCAAAGGGCTTAAGAAATAAGATTAAAATATAGATTTAAAGCCAGAAATATTCTTGTCAGGCATACAATAAAGGGAATATATATTTAATATTGCATGTCTTGACAGCAGCAAGAATTGTATTTGCACAGTATTGTAAAAAATGAGGAAACTCCTACAGATGAAAATATAATTTAAAAAGTATGACAATGCGCAGAAATGGATAGGTTGACACTGAAGATAAAAGATAAGGAAGATACAGAATACTATTTAACATGGGATTTGTTTTGTCAATGGTTAGACAATAGAAGTAGAAATTAGAAGATGAAAGATCACTACTATGTACAAGAAAAGGATGATAGGTTATCACTATGTAATAACAATAATAATGATAATAATGATAATGATGATGATGACAACAATAACAATAATAACAATAACAACAGCAATAATAATAATAACAACAACATTCCTAAAAGCTTGGGAAGTATTTGACTAGTAATTTGTGATATGAAACCCAGCATAGTTATCTTGTTTGTTGTGTACACTGTCATTTTTTGTGTCAAATAATAATAATAATAATAATAATAATAATAATAATTTATAAGTAAATTGACCCAGAGAATACACTATTTATTAAGCCCTTGTATACCAAAGAAAAATGTATAAATAAAATTTAAAAAAAAGAAATAAGAAAAACTTTGTGTTGTGAGCCCCTAGATTTTAACCTAACCCTAATTCTGAATCTTTTTTTCAAGCCATCTTTGCCAGCAACCATTCTGTGTTCTGTCTAGTCTCAATTCCTGATTGAGATATGGAATGAGTTCCAACCATAGGGTTGGACTACATGACCTTGTGGGTGTATCCTCTGACTTGACGATTCCTTGATTTGTCTTATTCTGCAAAAAAACCTCATCTTTCATCGGTTTCTTTCAGCTGAAAAACAGATCGAGTTTTGCTGCCACTTAGCCCGAGGAAACTTGGATCCGAACGAGCCCGTTACCTACGAATATGTCAAATTTGTGGTGGATTTCAAACGGTTTTCCCATGGTAAGCAGATGCCTCCCTCCCTGGAGGTTTTTAAAAGAAGAGACGGGAACGGCCACTTGTCTCAAACGGTGTAGGGTCTCCTGCCTTTTGGACCTCAGGGACCACCAAACTCATCATTTTAAATCTTGCGGACCAGAGACCCTGGGAAAATCCCCCCAAAAGTCTGCAGGAAAATTCCCCACCTGGTTTTCCTACCGATCAATCATTCTTTATTTGGGATCACAGGATACCGTCTCCAGGCTCCGTTCTCAGGGAGAGAGAGAGAGAGAGAGACTTTTGGCTTCATGCAAGGAAAGCAGCAGAAGCAGCAAAAGTCTTTCTTTCTCTCCCCCAAACTCCGCCAGAAACGAGTCTTTGTGAGACTTGTCATGCTAGCACAGCCTCTTGGAGCAGGAGGCCTTGCAGGGTCCCAAAGACTCATTTCTGGCGGAGTTTGGGGGAGAGAAAGAAAGACTTTTGCTGCTTTCCTTGCGTGCAGCCAAAAGCAGAAGAAGAAAGAAGTGGAAGGAACCAGGCCAGGCGTGTGGGGCAAGTGAGGCAAATCCCCCCACTATTCTCTTTCCTCCCTCCCCTCAATACCTCACATTGTGTGCAATGCAAGCGACGCAAGCCTAGTGTTCTCGTGGGCCATGTCGGCAGCGCAGCCTTGTGTTCCCACGCAGCCTGGATTAATTGCACATTTCTCTGTGGACTACCAAAATTTTCTCACGGACTACCGGTGGTCCCTGGCCCACTGGTCGGCAGGTGCTAGACTAGAAAACCTCAGAGGTCCCTTCCAGCCTCCATTCCGATTAATTGCCAATGGTTTTTGGGGGGTTTCTGTCTTTGCTTTAGTGCCTGCGTCGTCCTTCAACGGCTTCGAGTCCCCCGTGGCACGTGCGTTCCGATCAGTCAGTGACACCCAGGTCTGTCTAGTCGCAACCGTCCGTCTCATTACTCCACAGTTCTTGAAGGTGCGCTTGTCTCTTCGCTAAGCAGAGGGTACCCATAACCAGATAACAATCCGGGGGCCTTGGAGAGGAGCCCGCGGAACAAGCTGCGAGAAAAGCTCTGCGCGAAACTTTCCGAAACGTGGTGATAGGGCTATACCATCTCAAGGAGATGGCCCCATGTGACTTTTTGACAGAGAAAGGATTGTCCTGCAGGTTTAAAGTTTGATGGAAGAAGGGTGAAATGGTGGAATCGTTCAGAGGGTGAATGGATAATTCCGCTATCTTCATGGCGAAGCCTTCTTTACCCATAGGAAATAAAGCAAACTAAAATTGAAAATTAGAACAGCACCCGAATGGAGAATAAGGTTTATGGTGTAGGAATGTGGTTAGGAAAAAAAGACAGAGACTGAGACAGACAGAGAGAGAGAGAGAGAGAGAGAAGGAGGGGAAGAGAGAATGAAGACCAACCGCCTAACCATGTCTTCTGCCATCCCTTTGGGCAGGAACTTTGTAATGTGGAAGAATCCTGTGAAGAATTCACCTCACGGCACAGCCTGGAATGGAAGTTTTTGTTTTTGGATCACAGGTCAGTTGGTTCTGTTTAGGATTTCCAAAAAGGGTAGAAAATTGCTTGTGGGGGGATAAGAGAAATACGGAGTGTCAAAGAGATGTCAAGAGTCTGTTCCATTCTCTCCCTCCCTCTGTCTGCCTCCCTCCCTCCCTCTGTCCCTCTGTCTGTCTGTCTGTCCGTCTGTCCATCTTTCCATCTGCCTGTGCGCCTGTCTGCCCACCCATCCCGTCTACTGGTCAACTGTGTATCCATCTGGCCATCTGGCCATTTGTCTGCCTGCCCTTCTGTCCATCCAGCCACCTCTCCATTGGTCCATCCATCTGCTCTCTCTCCATCTCCCTCTCCCTCCCTCCCTCTCTCTGTCTCTTTCTCTCTCTGTCTGTCTTTCTCTCTGTGTGTCTTTCTCTCTCTCCCTCTC